TGCTTGGGAGTGGGTGTGATAGTCTACGTAGAGTTAGTGTCTGAGCCAGAGGGTGTGAGGGTCTGTGTTGAGATTGACAGGCATACACAGACTCATATTCAGACAAGCCAGGTGTCAGTGTGAGCTTAGGCTGAGTCTTAGAGGCAGATAAAGCTTTTACTTGGCGTTGCTGTGAATAAGGCCAGGTTGTTCTTGCAGATGGCGAGATGGTTAGCCCTGTGTGAGAGGCTGATGGAGGAGGGTTGAGCTGGGTGACGGAAGCAGGTGGGTAAATTTTTTGTTTCAGAGGGAAGCTCTGCTTTATTCTCCTGGCTGGCTTATGACTTGCTGTGTTTTTTTAAACTGGTAGGTGCGGAGCGAGGTGCGAAGCAGAGCTGGGTGCCCCTGGGCTGTCTTGGACTCGGTGAGTTCTGCTTATCAGACTGAAGCAGCAAGCGAGTGAGCGTCTTGTGGTTTTTGTGAAATTAAAACCAGCTTTTCATGTTGTGTTCTGCAGGTGGTGCCCAGGATCAAAGAAGAGAAGGGAAGGCGTGCAAAGTCCAATGGAGGAGTAGCAGAGTGACGGGAGAGGGAGTGGGGACTTGGTGAGGGAAGGGTGTTACTTTGAACCCTCTCTCAGGGTTTGTCTGTTTCCCTTGGTGTTTCAGGTGCTGCAGGTAACTCGGGAGAGGTGAAGGTGCCAAGTGAGGAGGGCTGTGAGGAGGTAAGGGGTTTGTGTGCGTGTGCGGTAGCTTAGAATTGAGAAGAAGGTGTTGAGTGCTATTAGTGTTTGTGTTTGGCATTGCAGGTCTTGCCCTGGATCTTTGGAGTAGGATGAGTGCTTGAGGTGAGTGAGGGAGGTAAGGAGAAGGATCGTGGGGTCGGTGACTTTTGCAAGAACCATGGTCATTGTCTTCTGTTGCGCTCCTAGAGCACGGAGAGCAGGAGATGCCCCAGGTCAGACTGTGGAATGGCTTTGGGACAGGCGAGGCCAGTGTTGAGGAGCTTTGGAGGAGCCCAAGGGTTGGTAAGGAAGAGGCCGGGCGGGATGGCTGGGGTGGTGGAGATGAGGGCCACCACAGGCTGTTCCCTGGTTTTGGTTTGTTTCTGCAGATGATGAAGAGGAACTTGTCAAGGTCTGCAGCATGGCTGGCGTCTGCCCTGGGAGTTCTGAGCAGTGAGGTTGCCTCGAGAGGCATGGAACTATGCAAGCTAAGTAGAGGGACTGCTTTAGGAGGCAAGGGGGTGGGAGACAGGGTCAGAATGGCAGGAAGGTGTTTGAGATGTATCGTTCCAATGTAGTGTTTGATCCAGAATGTCTGAGAAGACGCTTGGAGGTGCCTGGGAGGGGAATGGTCAGTTTTAGTAAAGGTAGTGCCTGGGAGTTAAATGCCAGGATGAAAAGGTGCCATTTGTGGGGCTTAAGTCTGAGGTGTCTTGTCAGGGGCAGTAGGTAACGGTCCTCGGTGAACCAGGCAAGGGTGGGAAAGTAGTGTTTGTTGCCTTTGGCTCCTCGCAGAGAGTTGTGCTGTGGCTGCTTCAGGCGAAGTCCAGCTTTGGTTCCTAGCCAGGGAGTTGTGCTTTAGAGCTGCCTGGAGAAGTCCTGACCCTGGGAGACCTTCCTAGATACGCTTGGCCGCTTCTTGCGACGTGGGCTGGCCCCCTGCGTAGCAATGAGCGTGCTTTTTTGTGAGTATGAAAGCCCGAGCCTCATGCTGTGTGAGGGAGGCAGAAGCTCATGCCAGGCAGGTGAAGGTTGCCTGCGCGGGGACGCCCGCTAAGGTTGAGCCTGCCACCTCGCACTGCCATGAGGATTGTCGGAGCTGGTTTGCTGATGGTCTTCCCAGGGTTCTTGGGGTTGGTAAGATAAGTAAGCAGGAGAAGTATGCTTTACTATTTCTATAGTTTTGTGTATTAATAAGCTAGCTGTGAGTTTTCTGCTTTTCTCTGGTTTTCTGTCACCTGGAATTCTTGAACTCTGGAATGCATGTGGTGGGGTTTTATAATCACAGTGTAGTTCTCTCCTCTTGATGAGCTGTGTGAATGGACAGAAGAGCTGTGAGAATAAGCTTGTAATTAATGACACAGGCCCAGAGAGCCTGCTTGGGAGTGGGTGGGATAGTCTACGTAGAGTTAGTGTCTGAGCCAGAGCGTATGAGGGTCTGTGTTGAGATTGTCTGAATCAGAGTCTGTGTATGCCCCTCAACCCCTGTGTGGGTGTGAGCTTGGGGTGAGACTTAGAGGCAGAACAAGCTTTTGCTTGGCATTGCTGTGAATAAGACCCGGCTGTTCTTGCAGATGGCGAGATGGTTAGCCACGTGTGAGAGGCTGATGGAGGAGGGTTGAGCTGAGTGACAGTACCAGGTGAGTCAATTTGTGGTGTCAGAAGGAAGCTATGCCTTCTTCTCCTGGCTGGCTTTTGACTTGCTATATGTTAATTTGGAGGTGCGGAGCGAGGAGCCAAGCGAGATACCTGCCCCCGAGCTGAATTGAACACGGTGAGCTATGCTTCGCAGACTGCAGCAACAGGAGACTCGGTGTCTTGTAATCTTCGTGGAATTTGAAACATCCCTTGTGTTGTGTTTTGTAGGCGATACCTGGTCTCAGACATAGAACCGAAGATCTGCACAGGCCAGCGGTAAAGTGACGAGAGAGGGAGATGGCACTTAGTGAGGGAAGGGTGCAGCTTTGAGCCCTCTCTCAGCGTGTCTGCTTCTGTTTCTTTTTCAGGTGCCGCAGGCAACTCGGGAGAGGTGAAGGCGCAAAGTGTGGGGAGCTGTGAAGAGGTAAGTGGGTTGTGTGTGTGTGTGTGTGTGTGTGTGTGTGTGTGTGTGATGGCTGGGCGTTGAGGAGAACATGGTGAAGGGGTTCAGTATTTGTGTTTGGTATTGCAGGGCCTGCCCTCTGCCTTTGGACTGGGATGAGTTCTTGAGGTGAGTCAGTGAGGTAAGCAGAAGGATTTTGGGTTCGGTCCCTTTTGCGAACACCCTGGTCATTTCTCTCTATTGCACTCCTAGGACTCGGAGGGCAGGGCAGGCCCGGAATGAGACTCTCAAATCGTTTTGGGACAGGCAAGGTGAGCACAATGTTGAGGAGGTTTGGAGGATGCAGATGGCTGTGACGCGACAGGCCGCTGGGCTCGGCTGGAGTGGTGGTGATAGCGGCCAGCACAGCGTGGTCCCCTTTCTTTGTTTGTTTCTGGCAGATGATGAAGAGGAACTTGGCAACGGCTGCAGCATCGCTGGAGTCTGCTGCGGGAGTTCTGAGCTGTGAGGCTTCCTGAAGAGCTGTGGCAGGATGCACGCTAAGTAGAGGGACTGCTTTTTGAGGCGAGGGGGTGGGGGACAATATCAGAATGGCAGGAAGGGGTTTGAGATGTAGTGTTGTGATGTAGTATTTGATTCAGAATGTCTGAATGTCCGAGAACACGCTTGAAGGTGCCTGGGAGGGGAATGGTCAGCTCTAGTGAAGGTAGTGCCTGAGAATTAAATGCCAGGGTGATAAAGGTACCATTTGTGGGGCTTAAGTCTGGGGTGTTGTGTCAGGGCCAGTAGGTAATGGTCCGTGGTGAACCAGGCAAGGGTGGGAAAGTAGTGTTTGTTGCCTTTGGCTCCTCGCAGAGAGTTGTGCTGTGGCTGCTTCAGGCGAAGTCCAGCTTTGGTTCCTAGCCAGAGAGTTGTGCTTTAGAACTGCCTGGAGAAGTCCTGACCCTGGGAGACCTTCCTAGATACGCTTGGCCGCTTCTTGCGACGTGGGCTGGCCCCCTGCGTAGCAATGGGCGTGCGTTTTTGTGAGTATGAAAGCCCGAGCCTCATGCTGTGTGAGGGAGGCAGAAGCTCATGCCAGGCAGGTGAAGGTTGCCTGCGCGGGGACGCCCGCTAAGGTTGAGCCTGCCACCTCACACTGCCATGACGCTTGTCGGAGCTGGTTTGCTGATGGTCTTCCAGGGTCCTTGGTGTTGGTAAGATAAGCCACCATGAGAAGTATCCTATCTCTATAGTTTCCTATGTTAAAGAACTAGTTGAGAGTTCTATGTTTGTCTCTGTTTTTCTCTTACCTGGAGTTATTGAACTCTGGAACGTATGTGGTGGTGTTTTATAATCACAGTGTAGTTCTCTCCTCTTGATGATCTGTGTGAATGGACAGAATTGCTGTAGGAATAAGCTTGTATTTAATGACACAGGCCCAGAGAGCCTGCTTGGGAGTGGGTGTGATAGTCTATGTAGAGTTAGTGTCTGAGCCCGAGGGTGTGAGGGTCTGTGTTGAGGTTGTCTGAATGTCAGCCTGTGTATGCCTGTCAACCTAAGTGTCGGTGTGAGCTTGGGCTGAGACTTAGAGGCAGAATTAACTTTTGCTTGGCACTGCGGTGACTAATGCCAGGTTGTTCTTGGAAATGGCGAGATGGTTAGCCACGTGTGAGAGGCTGATGTAGGAGGGTTGAGCAGTGTTGAAGGTACCAGGTAGGTAAACTTGTTGTGTCAGAAGGAAGTTATGCCTTATTCTCCTGGGGGGCTATTGACTTGCTGTGTTTTTTTAATTTGGAGGTGCAGAACAAGGAGCTAAGTGAGACCTGTGACCTAGAGCTGACTTGAGCAAGGTAAGCTGTATTTTGCAGACTGAATCAGCAACTGAGTGTCTTATAATTTTCATGAAATTAAAACATCCCTCGTTGTTGTTTTCTGTAGGCAGTGCTCGGGCTTGAAGAAGAGAACTGCAGACCTGCTAAGGTCAGTGCATGAGCAGTAAAGTGACAGGAGAGGGAGATGGGACTTGGGGAGGCATGGCTGCAGTTTGGAACCTTATTTGTGTGCTTCTACATGTTTTTCAGGTGCTGCAGCCAACTCAGGAGAGGTGAAGACCTAAACCAAGGAGGGCTGTGAGAAGATAAAAGGGCTGTGTGTGGGGGTGGCTGCTCAAAGTTGAGAATATCACGGCAGAGGGGTTCAGTATTTGTGTTTGGTATTGCAGGTTCTGCCTTCTAAATCTGGAGTCACGTGAGTGTGTGAGGTGAGGCAGGGTGGTAACAACAGGGGTTGTGGGTTAGTCACTTTTTGCAAGCACCATGGTAATTTGTCTCTCTCGTACTCCTAGGTTGTGGAGGTCAAGAGAAAGCCAGGCATCAGACTTTGCAATCAATTTGGAGCATGAGAGCACAATGTTGAGGAGCATGGGAGGAGGAAGAGGGTTGTTATGGAACAGGCTGGTGGTGTTGGCTGGGGTGGGGCTACTGACAGCCAGCCCAGTGTGTTCCCATTTGTTTGTTGTTGCAGGTGATGAAGAGAAACTTGGCAACTGTGGCAAGATCTCAGGACTTTGATATGTGAGTTTGCAACATTGGGCCTGTCTGGAGACCATGGCACTATGGAAGCTAAGTAGAGGGACTCTGGTTTGGGATAAGAAGATTGAGGTACACTGTCAGGATAGTAGGAAGGGGTTTGAAATGTGGCATGGGGCCGAGGGAAAGGCAGTGGGCTACTCAGCCATAGGAGATAACTGTGGGCAGGGCAGCTCCAGCTTTGACTTAAATAGTACAAGAGGTCTGTGTTCTGTATCAGCACCTCTTCAGGTCTTGATATACTCATTGCTCATTGAGCACAAGGTGCTCAGTGCATTCCTCTGGCACTGTTCTTTGGATCTTGACCCCTTGCATCAGTCACCTTAAGTGCCGGCTGGAAAATTCCTTTCCAAATATACAAGCATAAAACACAGTAGGGCTTGTACCTGGTATCATCAATTGGTTAACAGTAGTGAAGGTAGTGCCTGAGAGTTAAATGCCAGGATGAAAAGGTGCCATTTGCTGGGCTCAAGTGTCGGGTGTCGTGTCTGGGACAATAGGTAATGCTCCTTGGTGAAATACACAAAGATAGGAAAGCACTGTTTTTTGTCTTTGGCTCCTTCCTGGAGTGTTCTGCTTCGGATTTTCCAGAAAAGTCTAGTATTGGTTCCTACCCCGAAAATTCTGCTTTAGAATTGCTTGGAAAAGTTCAGACCCTTCAAGACCTTTCTAGATATTGCTCACTACTTCTTCTGACATAGGCTGGCCCCCTGTGTCAGAATGAGTGCACATTTTTGTGAGTATGAAAGCCCGAGCCTCATGCTGTGTGAGGGAGGCAGAAGCTCATCCCAGCCAGGTGAACGTTGCCTGCGCGGGGACGCCCGCTAAGGTTGAGCCTGCCACCTCGCACTGCCATGATGATTGTCGGAGCTGGTTTGCTGATGGTCTTCCCAGGGTCCTTGGGGTTGGTAAGATAAGCAACCATGAAAAGTATCCTTTAGTGTATGCTTTACTACCTCTGTAGCTTCCTATGTTAATGGACTAGTTAAGAGTTCTCTGTTGGTCTGTGTTTTTCTCTTACTTGGAGTTCTTGAACTCTGTAACGTATGTAATGGGTTTTCCTCATGACAGTGTAGCTCTCTACTCTTGATGATATGTGTGAATGGACAGAAGAGCTCTGGGAATAAGCTTGTAATTAATGAGACAGGCCCAGAGAGTCTGCTTGGGAGTGGGTGTGATAGTATATGTAGAGTTAGTGTGTCAATCTGTGGTGTCAGAAGCAAATTCCAGTTTATTGTCCTGGTGGGATGATGACTTGCTGTGTGTTTTGAATTTGGAGGTGCGAAGCGAGCTGGGTGCCCCAGAGCTGTCCTGGACTCGGTGAGTTCTGCTTGGCAGACTGAAGCAGCAATTGGTGGAGCGTCTTGTGGTTCTTGTGAAATGAAAACCAGCTCTTCGTGTTGTGTTCTGCAGGCGGTGCCCGGGCTCAAAGAAGAGAAGGGAAGACGTGCAAAGTCCAGCGCAGGAGTAGCAGAGTGATGGGAGAGGGAGCAGGGACTTCTGGAGGGGAGGGTGTTACTTTGAACCCTCTCTCAGGGTTTGTCTGTTTCCCTTGGTGTTTCAGGTGCTGCA